AAACGTAGTAATTGAAATTTGAAGCGAGCTCCCTCGTAGTTATATTTCCTCGGTTTTGATAATAACTGACAGTTTAGGTTATATATATATATATATATTTGAAAAATAATAATAAATGATAATGCTGCCAAGACATATATCTCGATTATTAGTGGGTCGAGATTAAATCTTTGTTATATATATGTTATTTGTAGTTATGTGATGGCCAAACATCTTCACATTAAACATGTTCTGGCTCATGCACAACTTGCAGAGGTACTCACTAAGCCACTTTTAACAATCATATTTTCAGACATTTGAAGCAAACTCAAAGTGGTTTTATTAAAATCATCATGATCTTGAGGGGGTGTATTAGAAAAGGGTATATGTATGTATGCTCGTAGGCTATGCAATAGAATGTTTAGTGATGTACATGTCTACGATAAGGAGTTAGTTAGGGATATAACTCACTTAAATTTAGTTACAACCATCTCATGCAAGTGGATACTATATAAACCAACTAACTCTTATAATGCATTTTATGAAATTAATTCACAAAGTAAGCAAAGCTTGTACTCCTTGGTGAAGTTCTCTTTTTCACTCCATGAACAAAATATTATTCTTACATGATATCAATTGCCTTCAAGAGAAGACCGTCTTCCGTTGTATATATCATTATCAAGATAGAATCTTCACCATTGTTGGAGCTTCAAAGAAGCTGCTTTGCAATATTTTGTCCTAATCTTGTGGCATGAAGTTCAAAGAAACAAGTGTTTGTTGCAAGGTCAAACACGAAAGCCGAATATAGGGCATTAACACACACTCCAACTGAATTCCTCTAGCTCAAATCTCTTCTATTTGAACGTCATATTGAGTATCTTGTGCCTAGTATACTGTTTGATAATATCGGTTGCTGTCACATAATCTGATACTCTGTGCAAGAAAGAAACACATTGAATTTGATATTCATTGTTAGGAAGAAAATTGTGACAAATCATCTACAAATTCAATATGTCTCTGTTCATGCTCGACTAACTAATGCACTCACCACGCCACTCAAAGTGGTTTGCTCAACCTACCATGAGTTTGTGGGGGAGTATTAGAAAAATACATGCATATGTGTTATGATCAAATATGCATGAATATGTTAAGCGTTTGCATGATTTAGTTAGACTAAGTAGTTAGATGAGTAACTAATTTTTAAAATACAAAGCAAGCTGGCAAGAATTTGATGAAGTTCTTTCTCTTTCTTTCATGGGCTATACATCATCCTAACAATAGTCAACGTTGATTTTTCATAATTTCCTATCTCAATTTCTTTCTGAAACAAATATCAACCATAGATAATCAAGAACCGTCCCACAATATGAATTTTGACATATACTTTAGAGCACTCATACAAATTTATATACCGATTTTATACTCCACCTACTGAAACAACACACACCAAGTAACAAAAGCATAACACCAAAAAACACAACTTTTTAAGGACTAACTTATTAAGGTATCAAACAATAGACAATGCCAAAATCCAAAAAGTTCCATTTAAAATCACACTATTATTTACATATAATCAAACATCACATATCACTCTGATCTGTGTCCTCTATGGGAGTTGAATTTCGGCCTCTCCGCCTAGACAGTCGGCGATGACTCCCACCGAATTTCAACCTTCCAGTCTCCCTAAACCTTTGTTTCTCCGCCAGATTAAAATGACACTCTGGTGGTGGAATAGGATATCTAATCGTATCATAACAATAAGAGTAGTACATAAAACGTTGGCGAAACCTCCGCATTTTCATACTACGTATAGGAGTCACCTTGGCGTAATCTTGGGCTTCAAGATGGGCGTTTTGATCGGCGCAACCCTCGATGTCGGAGAATTCTTCAACTGGATCAGTAGTGCAACCCTTGAGGACTAGGTCCTTAAATTCAGCTCCAAAAGGAGCATATTTATAGTTCACTTTGTATCTTCCACCCGATGTAGCCCAATTTGATGCATCCCATATGGTTGCATAGAGTGACATTGGCTTAGATGGATATTCACCTCTCATTTCTTCACTTCTTAACACTTCTCTAATTGGAACTTCATCAATGTAAAATCTGCAATATTTCAAACACGTGTTAAGTATATAATATTAATCAATCAACAAAATTATATGATAGGTAAAGAACATAGGTAGTAGCATACTATATAATATTGCATAGTATTATTCATTTGAAATAGTAAGAATTTATTGCCAGCTAGATTTCGGGTATAATTAGGTGGAATTATTAGGACAAGGTTTGGCAAATGTTACTAATATATGAGCTTGTTTTCGTTTGGTATCTAACTAAAACTGCTTTACGATTAAAATATACACTAGACTTGACATCTTTCTTTATGTGTTCATAAATTAATTTCCCTTTATCCATAAGTTCAACTTTGTGCCAATTTTAATTAGAATTGGACCGACATAAGTTCCAACTAACATGCTTAGTGTGTGGTTTACAATTTTTGATTAAAATTAATTAATGTGGACGACGAAACATTTCAAAGAAGACAATTCAGTCAAATTCTAGAAGCACAATATTATAAATTAATTAGCAAGATAATGCATTTTTGCTCACCACACAATCTTAAAAAGGATTAATAGCACGAGAAGGACCATATATTATACACATAACGTAAACAAATGGATAGACACAAATTTATGATAGAATATATAAATATTATGATCATGAATTCATGATTATCACCACCATAAAGAAAACAAAGAAAAATTGAATAGTAAAATTATATACATAAAAAACAAAAATTGAAGTTGGCCATGATGTGTGGGTCATATTCATCATACCTATATCTAAAATAGAAAAAAAAGTAATCGATGAATATTACAAAGTATCATCACTACCATCTAAATCAATCTTTTTAGTAATGAAAACTACATGCTTTCAATCCTTGATAACTCACATATACTCTAGTTGTATACATAACTTATCCCACACGCAATTCCCAACAGTTTTCTCTCTCACAATAAGTCAAACATTAACCACTTCAATCTCATAACACACATGCTATTATAAGTTCAAATCTAAAGCTACAAATACACATACCCAAAAACTTTTCCTAGATAAAAAGTAACCAATACATAAACACATAAATAACTAGTTAGAGTCTCTTAAACCCTAATACCGCCATAATTATAAGTGTTGAATGCAGTAAAAGTGACACTTACATTACGTTTTTTTGTGTCCATAGAATACTGTATCTATGGTATCCTTTACTTGGATCAAACCAAAGACGATAACGTTCTTCACGACCACGATGAGTGCTTCCATTTCCATACAAATTTGTTTGAAACCGCCATGGTTTACCAGCTACGTTACCTAGGAATTCAAAGTCCAATTCATCATGGGATTTCTCGAACACATCGCCGTTTGATGTCTGTAACAACAACAACAAATAAATAAATAAATAAATAAACAATAACGTTATTAAGATTAATAAAGTTACGTAAATGAATCGCTCGCTTCTAGTTTACAGTTTGAAGACTTTTTCTCTTTTGAAAAACTTTACGTATACAAATTGGAGTTTTTTTTTCATACTATTGAATCCGTAATTGTTGACTTTGCTTCATATTTATTGATCACATAAAATATTTAAAAAATATATATAAAAAAGAAACTAGGAAGAAAAGAATCGATTGTCAAAAACAAAAAAGGAAGGAAAGAATCCCATGAGTAAAAGCAACGCGTAATATTAAAAAAAAAAAAAAACTAGTCAATTATGAAAAGAATAAACGAATACAACAAAAATTAATAGTATTCAAGAAATTCACAGAAAATATTTAGAGTACTTACATAAAACGCAACACAAATACCAGCTGTGTTATTCGATGGAAGCTTTATATTAGCACTGAAGAATCCATATTGATACATATTGGATGAAATAAAACCAGAACCTATGTATGATCATCAGAAATAAAATAAAACAATTAAAAAATTATAAAAAGAAGATTGATATTTAATGATTTTGCATGTGTATAATAATATAATAATTGAATAATTGAATTACCGGTGTAACGATCAAGGAGGAGTTGAACGGCGTTACCGTCGAGGGAACGAACGACGTTGCCATTTCCGAAGAGAGGAGAATAGCCATCATTGAAGGGTATGGTTGCAAGGTCGAAAGCTGAAATTGTGAAAGTGAAGAGAAGAAAGAGAGAAAAATAGAATAGAGAATGAGTTTTATGGTGATCCATAATAAATTTAAAATAAAATAAAATAAAAATAGATTTTGATGTCTCTCTCCTACACTTGTTTGAAATTTTCTTCTCTGTTGAGTCTATATTTATACACAAAAGCAAGTTGATAGGAAAACACTAGAAGAGGAGAGGATATTGGTCTTTGATTGGTTGCTCCTAGACTTGACTTTGATTTCCCTTATTTTATTTACTTTTTTATTTTTTTATTATTTATTTCTCTATTCAAATTGCCCTTGGCTTTATGAAAATATCATGAGGTGTGCCATTGTGTACGTTTAATAAACTATAAAAATTTAACTTATAGAAGTTTATAATATTAATTAGTCATAACTTAGTAATCAAAAATCGGTCATAACTTGCCATTTATGTGGATTTTAAGTTAAATATAAATTAAACTCTACTTTAAATACAATTTCAATGTAAAATATTTGTGCAACGTTAATGATTCATAACTCATCATTTATATGAATTTAAAGTTAAATATATTAAACTTCAACTTTTCTATATGAAAGGTTTTGACTTTAACGAATGAGGAGTCATATTTGTAAATGATATGACCGCGATACTAATTTTGGGATTAATCTTCTTTTAATAATTTTCTAAACGTTTTTAGTTGTATTTATGTGTGAGTTGTTTCTGGTAGGAATTCACATCAGAATGGGATTTGATATGAAAATAATTGAACCCCATAACAACCCATAAAAGGAAAAACCCTAGGAGAGGGTGATGGGTTGATGAGTCCTATTACTTTCCACGTGTACTACAATATGGCTAAGCTTCCCATCCACTTAATAATTAATTAAGATACTAACATTATTATTATATCTTTCTTTCTAAGCATTCCAAAATCATATTATGGTGGTTGTATGAATGAGTTGTTATTAACTTATGAATATTATTTTTGTAAGCTAATTAATATGACGACACGTGATCATAAACGTTATTATCATGTCTATCGAGAATAATGAATTTAATTTTTTTATTGTTTGAGGCAGTTGATCAGAGAAGAGGTCACGTGTTAGACTCCATATACTCGTAAATCTTGGCAGTCTTCATTATTGGACCACATTGTGGCTCAACACGGAAGACCTTGGCTCAACGCTGAGGTTATATAAACCCTCTCACTCGAGAGAGTCAGATATTCATCTATTCACCCATTCTACCTCACTTCTGTTACTTACACTCTGATTATCTAGACTCTTACTTTAGCATCGGAGTATCCTGCAGGTACCTCCCCCCACTTCAAATTTAACTACTGCTCAACTTGAAGCTTGTGGGCCTTGATGATTCCTTCTGATCAAGTACGAACAGTGGCGCCATGTGTGTGAAACCAGCTTTCCTTTTTTTCACTCAAGACCAAAGTAACTCTTTCTCAACCTTCTGATTGTCATGGCCGATTAAGCTATCAACAATGACCAGAACGTTCACTTCGTCGACGCCAGCAACAACAACGCGGACAACAACAACAAAAACGTTGTTTTCCCCGAGCAAGATCCCCGGGACGAGATGATTGCATCTTCCTCCACCCGCTCCCAACCACGCGACGACGCCCTCCATCCTCGGCAGAATTACGAGCCGACTGCGTATTAGGAGATCCTGGTTCCCGAAAACGCTAACGCCATCACCAGAGTCCTGTTCGCGGCAATCAACCAGACAAATTACATGATCTTCGCACAGGGTGAGCGCCTGATAATGTTGAAATAAACTCGTCGGTCCCTCAGAACTTCTCCTCCCCGACGGAACGAGGACCGCTTCCGATCTCCCCCGCGGAGACACAAATGTGAAGATTCTCGAAGCCTAACTCCCCATCGTACTGGACGAGGTCCTGCATTGGAGAGGATCCAACCCGAAGCTGTCAAGAAGCATGGTCTCATACCCCCTCCCCCCTACGTGCGCGCGTAAAGAACGACGATCCTTTGAACAGAAAAGAAACAGGGGCGAGGAAGAGAAGAAGTCTCGACCGAGGAACTCTCCCCGTGACCAAGGCCGACACAAAGACCGCCACTACTACCGGTCCCCTCTCGCTCCCCAGAAAGAAGCGATGAAGACGACCCTCGAGGTCCGTTGTCCCAGGCCATCATGGAGGCCGTTATTCCTAATGGGATGGAGAAGCCTCCCTTTCTGAAGGAATATGACAGCATTGTTGACCCTGTCGACCACATCGACGACTTCGACGCCATGCTTCACTATCACAATGCCATGGGCCCCATTAAATACAGAATGTTCCCCACGACACTGAGGAAAACGGTCATGGACTGGTATAAGAGCCTACCCACCTGGTCGATCACCTCGTGGAGCAATTTAAAGAACCAATTCATTAGCAACATCATTGTATCTTGTCGGCACCCGAAGACTGAGGCTGCCCTCGAGGAAATCGTCCAGAGGAGCGATGAGACCCTCAGAGAATACATTGATCGGTTCAACCATGAGGCCATTCAGGTCCCTTGCATCGATCACATGAAGATATACTTGCTTGGGAGGGGACTTCTCTCGGGAACTGAATTTAGAAAGGTCTTCGGCATTGATCCCCCCAGATCTTTTGATGCACTCCTCGAAAAAGCTCGGGCATACATGGATTATGAGGAAAAAGAGTCTGCCAATAACTCTCGCGATTCGAGGAGTTGCGGACCAACTAACATCCCACAGCACAATGACACGGACTCTTCTCGACGAATAAGGGAGAAGAGAAGGCAGGAGAAAACTCGTGACCCCCGCGAGCACAGAGGACTGGTTGGGCGATTCACCTAATACACCCCAATGACCACTTCCCGCGAGCGTATCCTTGTAGATTGCTCCAATGATGAGTTCAAGGATGGCGGGGTCAAGTGTCCTCGACCCACCCCTGCAAAGCCCGAGGCTGACAGAACAAAGTATTGTCAGTATCACCGGAGCCGTGGTCACCTGACCGAAGACTGCGTTCACCTGAAGGATGCCATCGAGACTCTCATCAAGGCAGAGAGACTCGGGCAGTACAAGAGGAACGATGCCCCTCTCTGGGTGTAATACGGTGGGAGAACTGACTTGGATGTTTTGTGTTTGATTGCAAATGTTGCAGATAGCAAGAGTCTCCATTGACTTTTCTTTTATCTAATAAAGGAAAGGGTGAAAAGAACAGGAAAGACCTTTTAAAAATTTTCTTGAGTTTGGGGGATAGGTTATGAAAAGGGAAGGTGTTAACACCCTTTTCATCCGTAGTTATATATGAGCTCTTAATTGCTAGCTCACTTTGAAATGCTTTATGTTTGTGTAAGTTTGAAAATATTTTGAAAACGCCTTCGTTCGACAAATTTTGCAATGATTCTCGTATCGTTGAGAATGTATACAAAGTGGGAGTTTTGAAAATATTTGTTTAAAAAGGAGTGTTTGGAAAAATGTTTTGAAGATGCCAATGTAAGATAATTTTTGTAAGGATTCTCGTGTCGTTGAGAATGTATACAAAATGTTTGTTTGAAAATTGTTTTGAAAGTGTGGAGTGTGGAAATGGTTTTTTTTTGTGAGCAAGAAATTATGAGCAATCTACCTACTCAAAAAGTCTTTGTTCTTTTCCTCCTCCTTTAGATAGTGCTACTTTACTATTGGTTGGTGGAGAGCCATATCATTAGATGTTAGGGACATGCGTGGGTCATCGTACAGTCATGGAAGGTAACTTGTAAGATGTTTTAGTAATTTTTCGTAAGGGTCTAAGATCGTTTACCGAAGGCAACATCGAAGGGTCATCGAGGGGCTAAGATCTTTTAATCGAGGGTCTTTTGCTAAAACATTCTACGTTCGAGGAACATGACTGTTTTTATCTGAGGCAACAAATGTGGGTTATCCTAGAGGTGCATGTGTGAAAAGTGTATTGATTTCAAGTACTTGTCTTGGATTAGGGTTTTGTTAGGTTTGATTTTAAGTCTTATCATGCAACCCTACTTACTAACAATAATAACGAAAGCGATAAATTGCGGAATTTAAATATCCTACGTTGTTACAACGCTTTGAGAATGGGGGTACAAGTTTGTGAATAGGGGAAAGAAAGCAATAAACCCTAATTATCTATTACGAACCATTGAATATGAATAATAATAATAGAATGCACAAAATGTAAAGATGAAGAAAAAATTGTTTTTGTGTGATTTTTGATGGAGAAAGGTTTAAAGATTAACCTAATTAGACTAATTAATTACAAGAGAAATTAATTAATATTTTAAATAAAAACCTAAAAAATCTAAGTTAATAAAACGTAAATCTTATTAATTTGTTTAGAAAATTATTTGAAGGTTATAGTTAATTTGGAAAAAATATTTTAAAGCGTGGAAAATAAACAAAATCTAGTTTTAAATATTGACAAAAATAAAATAAGTGTTTAAATTAAAATATTTTAAATTTAATTATTTAAGAAAATATATCTTTTTGTATTTTTTTTATGAAATAAAAATAAATAAATAAAGAAAATATAAAAAGTGTTCTGGACTGGGCCTGCCTTGGCCCAAAAGGCAGATAAAGGCCCAAACCCAGACAACTCCTCGAGGAATGCTCACAAACGGACCATCACCGAACGTATCCGACCACAGACCGCAGCTGCTATGCCCGCCATTGCCCACAAAAAGCAGTGTCCCCGACCAAGAGAACTCTAGCCCGAGTCCAGCTCGAGCACCCTTCCCGTAGGGCAGACTCTATCCACCCTAACCGTTGTAGAATCCTCCAAGCTCCGGAAAGACCGCGTCTTCGTCCCTCCTTGTTCTTCGCACAACATCACCAGGAAGGGGACCACGAGCGGGGCCCCACTACACACGTAGAACCTGGAAGTTCCTTCATTGGACCAGTTCTGGTCGGCCCAATGAGGGGACCTTGGCCCAGTGTTGGGGGCTATAAATACCCTCTGTTCCAAGAGGGTCAGGTATTCATCTATTACGCACCTATACATTTTTTGCCTGCTCATTTCGTCTCTCATTTTAGCATCGGAGTGTCTTGCAGGTACCCCCCCTCCCCCATCTCACTCAAATTCAGTTCGAGCC